TCTCTGTAGGAAGAGCATAGTATCCACCCTCTTAGATTAGACAGTGGTTTTTCCTGAGCGTGGGTGACTGTGCTCTGGAGCCCACTGAACTTTGGGGAAGTATCCTTTCTCCATCTGCAAACAGGTCTGAGCCAGCTCCCAACTCAGTTGCTTTCCAGGTGGGATGGACTACAGTGTCATCTCTACTTAAAGTGGGAAAAGCCTATGGTTGTGTGCAGTGTCATTCTGACAAGCATTTAGATGGATATAAAAGGAACACGAAGCAGGAAATATTTATTGACAGGCAAGCAGTTCCTTCCAGCACACAGAAGCACATTGTAAAATGATACTTACAAGCTGTAAGTGAAATGGAACCATTTAATTTTACTACTTTACAGGGAATATCTCACACTACATCAACTTAGATGTGAAGGATAAATACATGTTTTTCAAATACCCACTCTGCTCTGGGCAGGTTTGAAACATATTTATAATCAGTTGGCTACTTGCTCGTTTTGAAAGCATCATCTAGTTTTAGGTTTAACTGAGCTCTGGGATTTCTGGGTGCTGGTCTATGGGGAGCTTCAGAGTAAAGGGTCTGCTCTTTCATGAGGGAGATGGACTTGAAGGAGATGGACCACACTGTCAGCCCCCAGTATGTCGGCAAGAAAGCAGTTGAGGAAATAGCTGGTGCCAAGGGAGCCGGCGAGGGAGGATGCTGCTGCTTGCCTGCCATTGCCATCCTGGCCCTTAAGTGTCATACGAGGAGTAGAAGACACACACACTCATATGTGGGAGTTCAAAGCCCCATATAAGGCCAGATTGTGAGGATCTGATTAGTAGAACCTCTGCAAAACTAACCTTGAGGTAACAGTTTTCTGTTGCAAGGAGTCTCCAGGAACCTTTAAAGTCAGAATGTTGCTTCATTCTAGAAAGAACACCTATGTGGCCCTGGTCACACAAGTTGGTATTTTGATACAATTCTCATGTGTGGCTTTGTTCTGGATGGTTTCAGAGTGTGGAACATACTTAGTTCCAGCCCAGAGATGTCTCTACCCATCCCCAAGCACAGACCTAGTTCCTATCTGTTAGGAAGTCATCAAGCAAGCTGTGACAGGTCTCTGTAGTATGGTTAGCCTTGGGGAGGCTGCTAGCACCACTCACTCATGGACCTTACTTAATGCTATGTGTTTTGCAGAACTGTCCCCCTTGCAGTCTGAATGAGAGACTCCATTTGAAAACCAGCTTGTTTTTCTTAAGAGATGTATGCATCATTTCAAGAGCTGTGCTGGGGATGTATTAACTTAAGATCATGGAGACAATGGAAAAAAGACCACACAGTGAAGTAAATCAAAGTAATTAGGCCAACTGCTGTGACTTGAATCTGGAATGTTAGGCCAACTGCTGTGACTTGAATCTGGAATGTTCTCTCAAAGGTCCATGTGCAATGGTTTGGTCATCGCATTGTGGTACTTTTGGGACGTGGTGGGGCCCTTAGTGGAAGGAAGTCATGTTATTGGTGGCATGCCCTTGAAGGGGTTATCAGGTCCCCGACTCATTCCTTTCTCTTTGCTTCCTGGCCACTATGAGGACAGCAGCTTCTTCCACCATGAACTCCCCAATGTTGTACTGGACCACTCCTGGCCAAAGCAACCCAGGCAAGTGACTTTGAGCTCACACCTGTGGAAGCGTGAACCTAAATGAACCCATTTTCTTTGTTTATCTTTGGTATTTGTCATGGCATTGGAAACCTGACTAACACACTTCACTTGTGCAGCTCAGCTCAGTCAGCGATGTTCTACTGATAGCATTACCTAGTTTGAAAACTCAGTGTGAGGGTCAAACTACTTTGTTTTCATGGTGCCTTCTTGGTGGGAGTCAGGCAAGATACATGTCTCCGTCTCTCTCTTCCTCTCTCCTTTGGTTTTTCCAGACAGGGTTTCTCTGTGAAACAGTTCAGGCTGGCCTTGAATTCACAGAGATCTGCCTAACTAAATTTGTCTCCTGAGTGCTGAGATTAAAGGTGTGCTCCACCACCAGGCTAGAGGAGCTTCTCTTAAAAGAACCCATCTTCCTGTTTTCCATTACCCTGGGAGAGGTTCATTTTAAGATACGACATGCATATTACGAAGGGCCATCAAGGCACAGGCAAGGTGTCTGTGTCTCAGATGAAGTGGCTGAAATGGATCCCTGACAGGTGGAATAACTGCTCAGCCAGACTCAACATCAAGAGTGTCATCAGTGTTGTGACAGTATCCACTTACACACCTTAATTCCTCACATATCCATGGTGTCTTAAAAGCCACAGCTTACTACATGACTGAGGGTAGTTAAGGGAGAGAACTGGACTGACACAGGGAAGCTCCAGCAGCAGCAACAATGGACAGATACCTCATGAAGCAATGAGAGAACATCACAGTACCCTGGGGAAATGCAGTGTGAGTGGGCGGCTGATCTGATGCTTCCTCTTATTTGGAGACAGGACTTGTGATACAGCCCAGGCTGGCCTTGAACTTACAATCTTACTGTCTTAGCCTGGCTTCTTTCTGGTTGCCATGAGGCAAGCAGCTTTGCTCCTGCCTTGATACTCTATTCTGCCACAGCCCAGAAATAGCAGGATGATGGGCTCTGCAGCTGTGACCCGAAATCCACCTTTCCTCTTAAATGAACAGAACACTGGTACCGTACCAGGAGGGGTGTTATCCTCAGGGCTATCTGACTACATGGTCCAGAAGCCTTCACAAGTTTGGAGATATATGTTAAGAGTCCCCAGAATTCTCTCTCACCAGGGCCTCAAGGGGTGATGATGGTGAGAGCTCAAATCAATACACCACAGATAATAAAAACTGCTCATGGGGTTTCTAATGGAAATGAGGATTTATTTGGAATTAGACCAGAGGCTATTTGTGTTATAGTTTGTCTATATCTGGAGACTTTAAAGCTTTAGACAGCCACGATTCAGGCTATTGCATGGACACTGCTGTTGCTTTTGGTCAGGTTTACAGTTAGAGCAGGGAGCAAGAAGCAGGGTAGAAAGATGTGAAAACCTTGCGGTTTGGTTTAAAAGTCCATGAAAAATTGAGGCTACAGAAGGTGTGGTTTCTAAAAAATACCCTTCAAAAAAGAGAGAAGTACTTTGTTATAAGATAGGAAGATGTCTTGAAGGCACCTCAGGAATCAGCAAGATCTTATTCACTGCAGGCTTAGTGATATAAAAATGTAAAATGACTTGGAAGACTTTTCCTGGAAAGAAAAGGCTGCTGGGGTGACCTGTGTGCATACAGATGCCTACAGATTATTGTCATAGAAATCATTCTGCTGTGCTTAGTTGCCCAGACATTCAGAGGTTCCTGTAGCCACGATCCAAGGAGGTCCAGCTACTGCTCGAGCTGTGTTTGCCATGAGATGCTGGTCTGGGGGTAGCCCTCTAGGTGTATGAAAATGAGGGTAAAGACAGATGAAATGGAGGTGCCAGTAAATGAGATGCAAGAACAGGACGTATATACCACTAAAGTTCCAGACAGTGCATACAGCCATCTGAGACAAGCCCATGTGTGCTACAATTGGCAAGTGTGCAGGTGAAGCTGCCCAAGACCTTTGAAGTTCATTATGCCACCCCTTTCTCCTCAGATGCTACTCGATTCTGCTAGCTATGTGTTTGGGTATGACAGCTCATGCCCTTCTTGTCATCACTCTTCCCCTTTGGAATTAAGAACTTAGTCATTGTACGTTGGAAGTGTTTAACTTGCTTTTTCTTAGGGGCTCATAGCTGAAAGTTTGTCTAGTGTACCAGGGGAGATTTGGAAAAGGTATTAAGCAGAGTTACATCCTCATTGTTTTCTTCATTTGGAGATTAATTACAGACAAGAGGTGGATACTCCTGTTGACTTGATTCTCTGTTGACCTGAGAGACACTAAGTGGTAAGTACAGGTCTGAGTGCTGGTGAGGGCTGTTGGAGAGAGGATCAGCATGCAGTTCTCTGTTTCATGAGGTGAGTATCACTTCTCCCCAAGCTCTTCGGCCTCGCTGCTCTGCTTCATTATAGCCACAGAAACCATACCCAACCACAGATTAGCCGTGAACTAAGACCTCTGAATCCATGAGCCACAATAAATCTCCCTTCCCGATATACCTGGCACCTCTACTGATTAGTTTCCTCTGAGCTGTTGGGGTTAGGGGGAAGGGACCCACTTTAACCTTTACCGTCCCCTGAAGTCCTACATAAGGGGAGTGCTCAAGGGTTCTTTTCCTTTATCAACTGCCTTCCCTTGTCCTTTTCTCAGTCTCTATAACCACACCAGGCTATATGGTACCAAAGGAGAGAGGGGCAGAGGAAACTAGAAAGAATAAATTGGTGTATACTAACATTTCCCTTTTCTGGTTCTGGGCTTAAGCTGTGATGTCGGCTCTGAGTGTGTTTCATCTGACAGCATGAGGGCATTTGGATAGCATGAACTAAATGTCCCTGCTGCTTTGGTGTTTCTAGAATCTCCACCATAATACCACCTAGAATTATAGAGTTCCACATTTACAGGCTGATTCTGAGTAGCTCAAGCTACTTATGAATTATTGAAATTGGTTCTTGATGTATCCAATTGGCTTTCTCCTTTTAAGTCTTGATAAAACTAATTAAAATAGGTTATGAGTGTGTTCAAACTAGTTTAAGCTGGGATTTTCTTGGTTTCCCTCAGCCTACTCAAGTGAAGATTTGGTCACTCATTTTACTGGAAGCAAGACCGTTTGAATAGAGCCTAACAGAGGACTGCTCTCATCAGGGGCCTCTAGTCAGTAGAAAGCCTGTGCTGGAACCTCATCTTAGAGGCCTAAAGAGCAAAGTCCACAGCCATATATGTATGTATTCTTAAGATCAACCTGAATGGCATTTATATGTATAGACTCAGGCTTTTAGCTAGGCAGGAATAAGTCCTGCTTGCAGTGTCTTAAGCCACTAAGAGCTGTGGTCTGATGTTGACTGCTCAGGTGCCTCCAGCCACCCCTCAAACCATGCAGAACCCCTCACCTTGATCCGGCTTACAGCTTCCTGGGCCTGCATCATGCGTACGTTTTTGGAGGGAGTTTTGTCTGAGAGCAGCTGCGTGGAGCCAAGGTAATTGGCAGCAAAAATAATTCCATCGATCAAGTCTTCAGGATCACAAGGTCCAGGGACTGTAACACATAGAGACATACAGAGTGAATAATGTCATGGAAGGGTACCACATACTGGATGTTGCATGCCAACCCCCAAGCTCACTGTTTACACTTGTGGTCTAAGATATCTTAAGAGTAATTTACCAAGAGAAAATAATATAATTTACTTGGTTATGAATCAAAGTCCAACAGTAAATAAAAAAAAAATATGTCTCTTAGCCAGGCCTGGAATCCTAGTTGCTTGGGAGGCTGAGACAGGAAGACTGTTGAAAGTTTGCTTATAGATACTTGCCTGACATGTGAAGCCTTAGGTGGAGCAATTCCCTACTCCCCCGACATAGTACTAGGGATTGGAACATGAGCTCTTTGGCAACAAGGGCCGTGCCATACTCATTTTGACTTGCATGCCTGTCATATGTGTCTATAAACTATATGTCTGTTATGGTTAAAGGAACAGAAAGCTGTAATAATGGAAAATACCATTCCCTTATTTCCTCCTCTGTTTGGTCTGTGATGGAGGAAACATGGGATATTTCTTTTCTATAATGGCATCAGACTCTAACTCTGAAAACTGATAGCACCAGTCTTGTCAACTGACAGACCACAATGCTCCTGGCTTCACACTGAGATCAATCCCAAGGAAAATCAGATTGCTCTCTTCTCACTCACCCATCCACTAAATTAAATCTGTTTTAAATAGAGGGACATCTGATTTTAATCACAATCACCAAAAATCCACACCCCAAATTAAAGCATGTCTGCAACTGTTACTTATAACAGACTCACTAAAGACAGTCATTTAAATTGCAAGTAAAATATGTTTTCTTTGACTTGAATGACAATTCTGAGGAGACTAAAATATAACCCACTGTGAAACCTCAGGTTCTAGAAATGAAATAACTTGAAATGGAAACAATTTGCTTCCCCTCTTTCTTGTAGGGCTAATCTGAAGGGGTTTTTATTTTCATTCTCCTCATGAGAAGCTGCTGTCCAGAGTACAAACTTAAAACTTATTCACAACTAAGGTTGTAGTCAAAACACAGAAATGGGCTGTTAGTCAGGACCTCCACAGTGTGCTTGGGGCATAGCTTTAGTGCTTGGCTATCCCAGCCTCTGTCTGTAGTAAGAACAAAGGTTTCACAGCTATTATACTGTCAGTCTAAGGATACTCAGAGTTAGCAAGTTTGTGGTCTTTCTCCCTATTTTGTTTTATATTCAGTGACCTCAAATACTAAAAGATTCATGAGTGACCCCAGTATTCAATATTGCAAGTTTGTGGTCTTTCTCCCTATTTTGTTTTATATTCAGTGACCTCAAATACTAAAAGATTCATGAGTGACCCCAGTATTCAATATTTTCTTACCTTCAACGTAGGTTGGGAAAGAAGCCAAGCTTTTTCTTGACTGTAATTAAGACAAAGAGGTTTCAAAAAGGGCAGAGCATGATGAAATATGCATTAGCAAAAGTGTCCATGCAACATAAAAAAGAAATCCATCACCGGTGGCATTTGTTAAGTAGTTATCGACCAGTTTTCATTAGAAAGAGCAAAATGTGGATAAACGTATGCATTTACTATTAAGGTTACCTAAAACCCCAAATTGCCCACTGAAGTTTGAAGTGATCAAAATCCCCCTACATTCCAGAGAAGCTTTAAAAAAAAGTATTCAGTGTGGGAAAACTACTGATTGCTAAATGCACCAATAGCATGACTGTACTCTTGAGAGTAAGATTCCCTGCAGAGTTTCCTTTAGGTCTTTGACACAAAGGTATCGGTTAAAAGGAAAATAAACTCTTGCACCTTGTAATCTTTCACTTAAGTTGAAAAATTCCATATTCTGTAAGTCACAAATTGGTGTTTCTTTAAAATAAAAGGTTAAGTTTGAAATACTGGCATTTCTTTGTGTCAGCCTTAACAGCACTGTTGGATGGGGTGAGGTAGACACCTTCTAGAATCTGGCTGGAAGTTTCTATACCAGCAGGCTAAGAAGCGAAGCTTGCCACAGGCTCCTTTCATAAGCACCTATGTCTCTCCAGGAGAGAAGAGCAGAGAAATCGTTTCTGTTCCAAATGATTTCTGCTTCAAATGGTATCATAGCTGAAATGTGTGGGGCCTCAGAGGACAGCTCAGATCTGAAAGTAAGCACTAAAATGGGCAAAAGGTAGGATTTACATGGCCAAGATTACTGTTGGGGCATGTGCGTTTTAGAGGAGGGCATCTGTTCAGTACACCAACCTGCTAGATGACAGTATGCTCTGGGGTACCTGATGGGCTAGATGAGCAGGCTGTGGGTGAGGACTAGGGTGTCCTGTTACTATGCAGAGCATGCTAACATTGGCGCACCTCATCATTCAGGCCAGTGGCAGGAATTCCACACTAATTGCATGGTAGACCACACAGGGCAACTCTCATAGGACCCCATGCAAATGTGTTCACTGGGAAGGAATGGCACCTATGTCAAAGAAATTGGGTCTCTTGGGTACCAAGAACGGAAGCTCCTGGCTGGTAATGCTTCTGTGGGAAACTGCATAGCATATGAGGAAAGGTATGGCTAGGGCACCCATGCTCTCATCCAGAGAGTCCATGCTATGCAGAAGCAGCTAGCTTCTTCACAGGGGCCAAAGACCATTTCCCATCCTTTTCCTGCCCTTACTATCAGTGTTCGGAGGTGGGGGGAAGTAACAAGAAATCACTTAGCATCATCAAAGTGGCTTAGTCTCCAGGTACATTTAAAAAACTGATTCAGTTTTCTTGGGCTACTAGGACACTTCTCCGAATGCTAAAACCTGTTTTAGTAGAAGCTACAAGACAGGAGAATTACTTGGGAGCAGTAATGGCAGGCAATTGGTACATTGGCTACTCTCCATTTGTTAGCTCATGATCAGATTTATTTTGTTCTGGGGTAATACTTAAAAATAGTTTTTTTTTTTTTTTTAAATGAAAGGGTATCTATTGCATACAATGAGGATTTTCATCATTTCTAAAGATATGCAGAGCCCTGTGCCAAGCCTTGCAGGAACTGTGAGACTAACACATTACCTTCTCCATTAAGCTGATGCTAATTGAAAGCTTAATATTCAGATACCTGATGAGACCTGCCTTCTCACATGTGGACTGAGACGAACATTGGTTGACCCTTAGCAAGAACTAAGAAAGTTTCATTCAAGACATTAAGGGCTAGGCTGGATGTGGAGGGTAACCCCTATCACTCCAGCACTGGACACAGCAATACACCCTGTCTAAGATAAAGTAAAAACAACAGAGGAAATTAAAGCGGGGCTTCAAGGTTTATCAGGGGTCACCTGAAGTCGGTATAGTCCATAGTCATGACAACTGGAAGCGTGACCACACACTTCCACACCAGATGCAGTAGGTCCTGGCAGTTCAGAACCTAGGCCCACAGGACTTCAGATTCAGACCACTGCTGGCCACATGTGAGCTGTGTAGCCTAAGGTACCCAAGCCCTGGCTTTCAGAACTAATACGAGGAGAGTGATACCCACGGCCCAGAACCACTGAAGGGCTCCAATGAGATTCAGTCTGTGACTCACTCAGCCTGGTGCCGGGAATAACCACAAATGCTTAATAGATGCTAATGTCTGTTTCTGTTGTTGCCACTGCAGTAGCCACTCTTCCCTTCTTACCCACCAGTGTGCTATGAGTAAAGAAAGTACCAAGTAAGGGCAAAAGGGGCCAGCAGGGACCGTGGCTCTGTCACCTATGTTCCAGGGGCAGAGTCTGCACAGACTAGGTGAGGAGAAAACATATTTCTAGAAAAACTTTAATAAATCTATACTTCCCTCTCATAAATAGGACACAATCTTTGTTTAGGTAAAAACGCTTTTCTTTTCCTCACTGAATTTAACATAAAATTGTCAGCACAGTGAGGAAGCATGAGGTGGACCTCTTCATCGATTCTCAGGGCTGATGAAGGAGCATCTACAGCTGGCCCCACTTGGGCCCACACATCGCTGTGCAGGACTATGGTCACCTGGTGTGGACCCACAGTAGGCAGTGCCCATCACCTTGGATGAGAGGGTAGGGGGTGTTAAAGGAGGCAGTGGCTCTACTCAGGGAAAAATACACATCCTTTTCAAGCCCCAGAAATCACATCTCATGACTAAAAGCTCTAACAGAGTTCAGTATGTCCCCCATGAGTGAGGTAAACACAGAACTTTACAACCTCCTTGTTGAGCAGCTTCTGGCCTATAGTTAAAATGAGAATTTTAGTCCCCCAGTCTGATTGGCCATGTTTCAAGAGTTCTATGGGCATCTGAGGCTAGTGAGTACCCTTGACAATACCAAAGTGGCTCATTCCATCTACACAGAAAGTTCTCTTGGAAAAGATGCTGGCAGATAGTTTTTGAGGTTCAGTGTCCTGTGATGCAAAAGGTCTGTAACCAGCTGCAGATGGTACTGTGCACCTGGAATGCCAAGTGGTGTGTATGCCTGAGGGTGTGAATTCTCATGTTCAATAACTACCAGACACCTGTGGCCAGTGACTACCAAACTTGACAGATCATGACTTTCACTGACAATCTTCACACATCAGAGAAGAAATATATCTCCTCAGGGCCTTATTGGGGTGAAGCAAAATAGGCAACAGGAATGAAGATGGTACCCTACCTCTTTATTTGTGGAGGCTTCTGTGGGGTCACCGGGATGAAGGGCTATGCTTGATGACTCAGCACCCAGGGGTGAGGAACTGCCAGGAGAAGGAGACTGGAACACAGCAAAAGGGACAGACAGCAGTGAGAACCGAGGATGTGACAAGTGTCTTAAAAACAGAACTGCCCTGAGGGGACGATGCAGTGGGAGACGCTTCCGTGGCAAGAACTACCAACCACACTGAGTAGACCCGGCCACCCAAACTTTCAACTCCATCTCTTCAAAGGAGTTCTACAGCTTTGGGGCTTTCTCTGCCATTAGGCTAACATTTTAAAGAAAATATGGACTTACGGTAGGCATCAAACTTAAAGGTGTATTATACAGCATGCTATTTTTTTCCTAGTGAAAGTTACAAATACTTAGATTACAAAAGTTCAAGCCACCTGCCCAAGATGATCTGAATGGGAAAATGAAAAGTAAACCTGGTCATTGAATTGTCTTTGTCAGCTCAGATGTCTGTCTGCTGCCTCTTAATGCATAGGCCTCTGAAAAGTCAGACATTTCAACGTTCCAACCACAGTTTTGGACCATGGCGGCATACTTTAGAGACCCTCTGTCAAATGACAGGATTGAAGTAAGGCTTAGAAAGACAGGTTTGAGGGAGCATGGCCCCTGAGTTAGTGTGGCGGTGCCTTGGTGGGTGGGCACAGGCAGGCACCAGTGGTGGGCATGAACCCTTGGTTTGTGCACAGAACACAAGTACCCCCTAAGTACATGCTAAATGAAATGACCAAAGTAGGCAAGCCATGTGACAAATACAGGTCTGGAAACACTCCCCTATGATACCAGAAAGTTCCATGTGGTCCTGAAATCTTTGGGTCGCCCTCACAGACGGTTACCAATTCTTTAGTGATGGCACTGGAGGGCCAGTGCGGTGCTTCCCAGCTGTGGCTGATAGATCTGAGAGCCCACATGTGACGTGAGAGTAACCATGCAGGGTGTATTCTCCCAGTGTGGGGATGAGAGCCTGGGCTCTTCCAAAAAGCCAGAATTACAAGAAATACAGGGAACACCAATAGATGACGCAGCGAAGAGCACTATTTAGCTAAGAAGTTATGTGCCCACAGTCTCTGGACATATTGCTTGATTCTAAGCAGGGAGGTGAGGGTCCAGGAACCCCTTACATGGTGATGTGGAGACATCTGTCACTACAGTGAAGGCAGGAGGACAGGCAGAAGAAGACAGCAGATATAAAGTATCCCAGGCCCCATGGCCCCTAGCCACAGTAAAGCAGTCTTGCATGCCTTTCAAAAGAAGCATGCAGCGTTTTCCAGTCATTGCCCAAGAGAGCTGCTGGTTGCAGTAAGATTTAGCACTGTTTGGCTGACTCAAAATTAATGTGGAAAGGCTGAGAATTTAATACCTTAAATCTCCCCAGTTTTTTTCACATTGAAAGGGCTTCTTTTGATATTTGTGACTTGATTTTTTTTCCCAAAGTAATTTTCTCTGTCCCAAAGACTTTCAGGTTCCCTCAGAGCTTTAGGGAAGCCACTGCAGTTGGGTTTTTTGAACTGCTTGCTTTCAGGGTCATGGACATCTTTCATATGGACCTACCTGACAGACAGCCCCATATTTCCCACTTATTTATTTTCTACTCCAATATTCTACAAATAGCCTGTCTTCCCACATCACTGAAATCTATCTAGACAGTGGGCAGGGATGTGAAAGACGGAACCCAGATCCATAGTAAAGTAGGTGGGGTAGTGCTGGGTGCCCACCAGAGAATGCTGTGGATGAGGAGGACACAAGTCTGCTGGTCACTCCCCACACTGACCTAACCAGGAGCCCACCTCTCCCCAGACACCTGGTGCTGTAGCCATCAGCTCATGTACAGGCTTTGGTGAGTTTCCTCGGTCCACAGCATCCTGTCCTTCCCCCCACATTCAATGCTCAGTTCAGAAGCTCACCCCTCTCTGGGATTTCTTAGAAGCCAATCAGAGCTCATGTCTCCTTTATGGAATGTGCTGTAGTTTATATTAAACTTGTGTATGCCTAAGCCCTAAGAGCTCTTCAGCAGTAGAAATCTTGTCTCCATCATCACACAGGTGCCTAGGCTTAGGCCTTCAAAGTAGTTAGGGGCTTAGCAAAGGGAGGCACAGACAGATGCCTTCAGTGTGATACCCTGGTTATACCACTTCCAACGTGCACTGAAGAAGGTAAGGGACCACACTGCCCACTGCCTCCTTGGGATGACATCTTTTAGTGGTCAGTAGTGAGTTCTCTGATTCTGTGTAGAACATTCATTGTTCATCTTGACTTCTAGAAATGTATTTTTCCTGTGAGGACTCTAACTTGGGCTCTAGCGAGTTTTTTGTTTTTTTGTTTTTTGTTTTTTTTTCATAGAGAGCTACAAATGGCTGCTCACTGACCAAGGCAAGCATGCACAAACACCTTCAAACAGACCTAACCCTTACAAGGATGAAGCAAAAGGTATTTAAATGCCTGCTTCAAAATCTTCTGTTGCCTTCAACCCCACTTTAACTGGGCAAAGATGTGTTCCTTTTGTTTATGCTGAGGAATGTTACTTTAACTGTGTGGAGGTGTGTTACATTTGTTCCTGCTGTCTTTTTAAACAGGGTGAACATGGGTTGCATTTATTTCACCATGCCTGCCTGAGGCATCTGATTGGTCTAAGTGAAAAGTGGACAGTCAATAGCTAGTCAGGAGAGGGATAGGCAGGTGGGCAGAGAGAATACATAGGAGGAGAAATCTAGGCTTGAGAGGAAAAAAAGAGAATGAGGGCACTTTCTTGATTGCTAATTGATGCAGGATGGCCCACCCCACTTTAGGTAGTGCCAGCCCTGGACAGGAGGTTCTGGGCTGTAGAAAAAAAGGCAGCTGAGCAGAAGCAAGTGGCATCCCTCTGTCGTCAGTTCCTGTTTTGGCCCTGACACCTCGTGATGGAATGTAACCTGGAAGGGTATGATAAAATAACCACTTTATCCTCCAAGATGCTGTGGATCATGGTGTTTATCTTTGAGACAGAAATCAAACCAGAACAGAGTTCACCCTTTTCTTCTGCACATGCTTGCCTTCTCCCGTGCTCTCACATGGCACACAGGGCCTTGGCAGACCAGGTTAAGTCTGTGCCCAGGACTTAGCCTCCAGAGCTACGAAGCAAACAAACTCTTTATAAATCCCCAGCCTGTGATGTTGCAAACACAAAGCCACATGTGGAAGGATGATGACAACAACAGCAGTGTCCTGAAAGAACAGGAGTGTCACATGACTGAGGGAGGCCCTTAGGAAACGCTGTCACTCAACTGACCATAATTTTAAAACTCTTTTCCGTTTATGCAACCAAAGTCACCCATGAATGAAGAAGGCTATTTGATTGTATACTTCGATAACTTTTCTTGAAAAGTAAATTGTACCCCCCCAAACCAATACCCTAACAATTTTCACACCAGCCAGGCTTCCTGTCATCCTCAAGAGGTGGATCAGGACTGTCTTCCCTTTCTCAGGAAGTGTCAGAGAGGACAGGTCACCTTCCCAGTCTCGGAGCTATGAGCAGGGAGGACTGAATTCAGTCACAAGTCTATTAGACACCAGACTTGAGAATTTAACCATTTGTCATTCTAAAAACACAAAATACGATGTTATGTGTTTAGCCATGATATAAACCACCAAATCTTGACATGACAGCTGTGATGAGAGCGCACCTGTGAGAGGAAGCAGAGGCTGCACAGGCCCCTTTCCTGTCAAAAAACCCCCCATATTTGTTGTAGGGACTCCCGAGTCTGTAGTTATTAAAGTATACTCATTACTTTATTATACATATTATACATATTAAAGTATATTAAAGTATAACTCATACGACAGTAGGTTGCGTCTTGAAGGCTCTTGAAGGCTCCTGAGATAGGACTCTGTAACACCAAGAGCCCATTTTATAAAACAGTGTGATCACAGGAACACATTTTCCCCTTGAAAATGACTATGTTGTTTTAATTTGATATCATGGCTGAACACACAACAGCGTATTTTGTGTTTTAGGATGACAAAGTGATTAAATTCTCGACCCCTGGTGTCTAATAGACTAGTGACTGAATTCAGTCCTCATTGCTCATAGCTCTGAGGCTGGCCTGCCCACTGTGACCCTTCCTGAGAAAGGGGGAAGACAGTTCTGACTCACCTGCTGAGGGTGACAGGAAGCTTGGCTGGTGTGAGAGCACATTGATGGGCAGCTGTGGTCTGGGCACCTACACAACACTCACCTAGTATGAGCAATCTTTTACAATTCCAATCTCACATTGTTCTTTTTTTCCTCTTAAGAGAGGCTCAGAGGGTCAGCAAGCCATGAATGCTTTCTTCGTCTCATTTTGTTTCCTCATTAAAATTTCACTCATGGATAAAGGGGAAAAGCAAGCAGGAGGCACTATAAAACCACACCGCAAAGACTACATTAATTCATAAGCTCCAACACTTCAACCGCATATTGGTAAAAATAGCTCATTAGTGGCTCTGGCTGGGGGCGGGTGTCTACAACTGCTGTGTGTAACTTCCAGCACTTCCGCTGCTTCCCATGCAAGAAAGCGCTCCAAGGATCTGAAAGTTAAAAGTGATACTGCTGGAATGATTGATCTGCAAAGACACGCCCACCTGCCCTAAGCCTGTTAATTCCAGCACAGCCCAGATGACCCCAGTACCCCACTGAGTGAGGACACCTATGAAAGATGGCCACCAGCTCTAGTTAGCCTTGAGTCCCAGGCAATACTGGTGCTTCTCTCTTCCAAAGAAACACAGTGTCAGAAATTCACTTCGATGAAGGGCAGGGAGAAAGGAAATATTGAAAACTTATATAGTTTGGTCAGTCTACCTGGGACTGCATTACTCTGTCATTTAACCTACAGAGAACAACTCCTGGAGACACAGGGGTTTCCTTTCTGTCACTCCCCTCCCCGCCCCATGACTAAGGAGCCAATATACCTACTAAGAATATACAAGCCTTCTTCCCCAAGGACCTACTTTCTCTTTTCTCTGGGCAAGCCAGTTTCAATTCAAGCCTTTAATCTACCTTCTTTGCTTGGAGAACAGGTCTAGAATACAAGAGCACT